ATCATGCAGCCCGCGGGCTAGACATCCACGGCAAAAAGGAGAGGAGAGAGCGGGAAAGACGAAGCTCAAGAAGAAAGATACAGTTACAATGGCGCCCGCCCAATATTACATTTACTTGCAAGATTAAGGGCGCCAACTATAAGAGATCCGTTGCAGCCGCAAAAAGAAGCGTGCAAGCACAAGCAGCGCGCGGCAAAAGAAATCCCAAATTCCTAAATTTCTAAACTTATTGCAAAATGAACTTTTTAATAAAGCGCAAATTCCGAAAAGAAAGTCCGAAATTCTGAGAGTCATCGGGGCTCGACAAGATTCGAAAGGAAAAGGAAAATTCGAAAAGAACGAAGCAAAATTCCCGCGCGATCTCCGCGCCTAAAATCCGACAGTCCAAACAAAAAGGAGACGACGTCAACCATTATTACTCGCGCGCTCATCGGCGCGCCACTCAACCGATCGTCCCATGATTTGCCCAGCCTCGAACCCAACCATCCAAAAAGAAGCGACGCAAAAAAATGAAGAAGCGAGCACACCGATGCAATTTCCCTTCGATCCCGATCTCCCGTAATTGGCCCATCCTTGCCATCTCAGGACCCCTCATTCTCATCGCGCAGAAAGTCGCGCGGAACAGAAATTGGTTCGTCACACGGGTGCACCAGCTGTACATCTCACGGTTCCCTACGACAGGATAGGTTTTCGCGGGGCGCATCTTACCTTCCCTGAGGGGTTGTGACCACCCTCAAGGGCGTATCCCTACCGAACTATGACCCACATGCCAAAGCTTTTACATGCAATTGCAGAGGTAGGTCAGTCGAGGGCGTTTGCTCGTTCGCAAGAGTATAGGTACACTTGGTTAACGCCAAGTGGACTCAAACGTTGTCCGTCTCCTAAGGCACTGATCTCCTAGGAACGAAACGAACGTCGGTCGACTAGGACGGTCTCAACAAAACGTGAAACCCACAAAATAATCCTAGTTCCTTTATAATTCTCTGATCACAAAATAAATAAAATCAATACACCTGTTATCCAATCACATAAGATTGGTTTTCGACTTGATGAGATGATCTGCCACAGTTATTCGTCCCAACCTATATGACCGAAGAGATTATTATAACGCCGTTTCCGAGGCGGAGGTTCGATATTGACGAACGATTAGAAAGGGCAACAAATGCTTTTGACTTACGGTTGGGTCCGTCGACACTTACTAAAATGTGCCAGGAATGACTTCTACAAGTGAATTTCACTGCTATCATGCAAATCAACAAGTGATCTAGCTCCTGGCCGAAGTTTGAACGCTCGGTTCGACCACACCTCCGTATAATTTGCGATTTTAACCTCCGACTCTTTACGTTATCTCGAATGATGAAGTATTCATCTGCATCATTCGGTTATCCAAAACAGAATTGCATTCGTTATCACTGCTCAAAGCAAACCATTTCCTTTATCACCCACTTCTTCTTACGGGCTGGAGTTTTTTATGTCACCAACTTTTTATTTTAACGGTGACACCTAAGGTGACTATTCGCGAGGACATTAAACCAGCCCCCACGTCGTCCAGGACTCGCCGAGGGTTTGTCAACTCTACGCCATCACACCCCCAACCCTCTAGGAAGTGATCTGTGGATACTTCTTCCCCTCGCCCGAGCCTGAAGACTCGGATCTCATAGGTTAGGCCATCACAACCAAGTCGGCAAAGTACCACCCCCGAAGAATCGGGTCCACTCTAAGTTGATAACACAGTCGACTCCAAAAGCATACGAACCCCCGCCTTGGATGCTTCCTAGAGAAAGATAATGCATCCACCACAGGTATGTTTTGACTATCCTTGTCTTTGGAAGTTCAAAATAACTTATACAAGGATATTCAAAGGAGATAGAAATGAAAACTATTTAGACAGGCATAGGTAGATAAGGCCATTCAGGATAGAAAGGGTCAATTCTCGAAAAAAAACTAAGTCTATCTAATCTTATCTACTTCATTTCAATCGAATTCGTTTCACGGTATACACAATCAAAATTTTCAAAACAAGGAATCTTTTTTGACATGCAAACATGTGAGAAGTAGAAAGAAGAAAATCCTTTCCCTTTTCTCCAACATGCATATTGAATCTCGTCCGCAAGCATTTTTCTACCTACCTGTGCAGACCGTAAAGCACAACAAAAATAAGTTCAAAGAAAACCAGTACAATCTCATACTCACGTCAGACTTTTTCATTTACATGCAAACACACATTTCCTTTGCCTTTTCAATGAACATTCAACGAATAGGGCCAAACAAGTGTGGGTTCACACAAATATGAAGGGAATTCTGAGTCAATCAATTGACTGACCTTGAGCGAAGCTTCATCCGACTCACTCAAGAAAACCGACTAATATTCCAATGAGAATAAAGGATATTCTCCGTTGAGATTGACAATATGCAGCCCACAACACCACAACTTACGCCTGTTCCAATGAACGACGGTCAGCCTCTCCTCCAAGTACCCGAATGAGCAGAGGTTGATCTCAACAAAGCTCAAACGAATAGCCCTCCATAAGGGTGTTCCCACGAATGAATTTTCAGGTGGTCCCAATGTCTCAAATTGTCTCAATACCATCCCACTGCAGTATGTTCTCCAAAGACACTATCCAACCAAACGCAAGTCCATGTCGCCTCCATTCACCACGCCTGCTTATAATAGTCACACCAACATACTGGTCCCGATCTCAAATCAGTCCCTCCTGGTCCCAAAATGAGCCCTAATAGTCCCACATTCCTACCGCACTTCCACCAAATGGTCTTAGAAAAAAACTCGTGCCGCCAATCCCAAAAATATAATGGCAGTCCTTTGGCGCAAATGCCGCAAGTGTCAGTATCCAAATGGTCACACCAATAATTATCGTGCCGCCAAAAGTTACCGCAGTAGCCACTAAACACAATCGTAAAATCAAACACTTCGGTGCAATTTTTACAGCTTTCCCTCTCTAACTATCACTGAGAATGCCGCAACCTTATCACTACCGTCGTATCGCAGCACAATCCTTTCAAAACGCCGTTATCGTCGTGTAAAAAAAAAGCAACACTTCCCACCGAAAGTGTTGTTACCGCCATCCAAAAATTTGGCAACATTCCCCCACCGAAAGTGTTGCAGCAGCCGGGCCAAAAAATTGGCGGCACCTCCCCACCGAAAGTGTTGCTGCAGCCGTGCCTACCGCAATTTCACAGCCGCAGCGAGCTCCCAAGCATGCAGCACAAGCACAAGGGTGGGGCAAGGAGCTCCCAGCCAATGGCTATGGTTGTCTCTCTTTCCCACTCCTAACTCCTTCATGACCTCCACTCACCTCGTTTCTTAACCTGCAGACCACCACCGTCTCTCAACACCCTCTTCTCCTCAAACTCCAGCAGCCTCTCCCTCGTCACTTGCAACATTTGTCCTCCAACAAAATCAATATCAACAAAATCAATATCAACAAAATCAATATCAACAAAATAACGGTCGCCTGTTAAAGGAATATAAGGAAAAAAAAAATCAAAATCAGCGAACTTACCTTGCAGTATAACGGTCGCCTGTTAAAACGGGCATCAGCGCCTTCAAAGGACTTCAAGTCCCCTTTAACTTCACGTTCGATTTAGTGGTAGTTTTTTTTTTTTTTTTTTTTTTTTTTTTTTCGTTGGCTAAAATCAACAGTCACCTCCGTTTGTGGAGCTCCCATGAACTGTTGAAATACAGACCCGAGTTCAATCCCAACAGGGATCGAAAAATTTAGACCACTCCTCGATTTGGGTATATCAACCTTACGCAGGGGCCATGATAATTCGTGCAGCCGATCTAGGCTGCGCGATCTTTACGATCAGACGGCCAGATCCGACCGCGCTGGCAGTACTTTGGTGGCCAGCTCCAAAAGGAGATAGCCAGTAGAGTGGCTAGGCAGGTTTGATCCCGATATTAGTGGGGTGACAGTCAAGTACCGGTACTGGGCTAGCTCCTACCACGGTAGAGGTAGGAGCAACTCTTCTTTATGAAGAGTTGTGCCCAACTGGTTCCCCTTGCCCTGTGATCAGCGGCTCAGGGCCCATGCCCACAACCAGGTCAGGTTGCTCTGTCCAAGGTCCGGTACCGGACCCTTGCTCAGGCGCATAGCCTCCACCATCTGCCACCGGCCCATGCTCGGCCTTGTCGAAATACAAAGGTCGGACGTGGCCAAGACAGGGATGCGCTTTCATGGGCAAGGGTCTTAATTAGTCTTTTAGGCTCTAAATCGCGCGGCTTAGCAGTCGCACAACATTATTGTAGATAGAATAGATACAAAATTATTATATATATATAAATATGTATACATTATAACCGTACATTCGTGCGACCTTACCAATCATAAGGAGGGACCGGTCGCCCCCCCGGTGTCAGGTCTCTTAGACTCAAAAAGTTTTTGTCTCTTTGTCATAGGTTAGTCTGAAAAAACTTTTGGCGAACGTCAACCTCATCAAGTCCTCCAATTCAATAAAAAAGGTCGGACAATGTCTGACATCGAAAAACACGGGCAGATACCCTTTTCAGGGTTTCTGCCCCGACAACATTCCCGGGTTCACCATAAAAAATACAAAGTAAGGACTTTTATGAAAGTTTCATGTGAAAACAACGATTACAGTACACAACAATCCAAAACAATTGTCCGGAACAAAGACGAAACTTTCATCAACAACCTGGATTCAGCCTCTACAAACCTAAATATAATAACATCAATAATACTGGATTTGACTCCAACAACCTCAGCATAAATACAACAAAACTGGACTCAGCCTCTAGAAGCCTAAATATAAACACACCAATACTGGATTTGACTTCAACACCCTCAACATAAATACAACAAAAATGGATTCAGCCTCCAGAAGCCTAAATATAAACACAACAAAACTGGATTCAACCTCCAGAAGCCTAAAATGTAACAATTTTATACTCATCAATTGGAATAGTACTAGATTTCACCCCTGGCAAGCCTAAAAATGAATACTTGGACCCAGATTCCGCCCCTGGAAGCCTAAAATACAAAGAATTTGTTTCAGAATTGTCCCAGCGCCATCCCACTTGCGTCATCCTAGCGTAATCCTTTTCACACGATAATATCTCGACATCAAGCCCGACTTAAGATTCGAGCCTCACCACATTCTCTCCGATTCCAGTGTCGTAACCTCATCAATCCCCTCCCTATAGAGTTAGACATCTCCACCCCACACAACCCAGGTTGGTTAGGCCTTGACCATAGAGGCGAAGTGATCATGCTTGATACGCGATTAGGTAACCACTCCTCTCATACCCGACAATAATCGCCTCCTTTGTAAGCAGTGTCTTAATAAGGCCAGAACACCTTCCTCCCTTCAATGATAGTGTAGCCTCCCTCCCTTAAACCACATAGGATTCGGAAGAGATCATCTCGCTATAGATCAGGAGCACAGCTCCAGCACGAGCCTCACTACCACCTACAGACCTCACAATTACATCAGATAAATATCGAACATGACAATGAACAAATAACCATTACATTCAAATCATCAGCAATACAATTCATGATGATTCACAAGAATTCACAACAAATGCTTTCACATGGAATTTCATAATGGTCCAATTTAAACATTCTTTTATTGTAATAAAGGTTTATCACCACCACACGAAAAGATGAATGTGGTCTTAGCAAGGAGGACACAATCAGTCCTCAAGTATAACACTTATCAATTATTAATGACAGGAGGCCGCTTGAGTAACCGAAACCTTGTCAAACTATAATTCATGTTACGCTAGAGCTCCCTCGATGTCTACTTCATTGTATCAACAAAATTAAAATTAACACTAATATAAATCCAATTAATATACATAAATATATTGAATCAAAGTCAACCTCTGCCTTCCTCCCAATGCTAAAAACATATAAGCTTTTATACCAAATGCCAAGATAATCAAGGCATTCAAAGGATAAGATCAATTGTCTTTCAATAATGTCTAAAAGTACCCCGGACTCAAGTAGTAAGAACGATCGGCTGAAGGATGGAGATAAAAAATTTACTCTAATTTTTCAATCTCCCCCACATGCGATCAAAAATCACATCTCTAATAGATTTGTCCTCTTCTTGAAAAATTTACTATGATTTTTCAATTTTTCCCACATGCGATAAAAAATCACATCTTTAATAAATTTGTCCTCTTTTTGAATATGGAAGACCGACACATGATTCTAATCTTTACAGACTTCACCTTTTCGCCTACTTACAATTCCCTTTCTAATATCGTAGTCAAGGCGTCAACAAAATCTTATTTTATAACCCCATATGCCACAATATGTACATTTTCAAAGCTTGCGAAACATTAAAGTTTCGCTTGCCTCGACTCCTTCATTCGAACACTCACTTTGGTTCATATTTTTATATGAAGTAGTGCGAACCTTTTTCTGCGACTCGTATTGACAGATAGCTCGTCTCCCTTCTTAAGAAGTTCCTTGACCTCCTCGGGCCAAATCACAAGCAACCCTTTCAGCTTTAGTAAGCTTGCGAGGTCGCCCTAATTGGTCAGACTCACTATCTAACTTCCTTTTACCCTTTAGCACCCTATCTTCAGCACCCTATCTTCGAACACTCACTATCTAACTTCCTTAACCTTACACTTACTAATGATGAGGATGATACCGTTATGGGCGATTCGAAAGAAGACTGTGTTGAATCTACTTTCAAGAGGAAAAAAGTCGTAGTGCGAAACCTAATCTTTTGGATTCCCCCGAAGAAGCGGAGCCTACCTTGACTGATAATCAGGTGGGACAGCAACCAGTTGTTGATGAAACGAGAACTCAGATTGTAAGAGCACTGAATGCGCTACCTGATAATGCACTTGCATCTCTTTCATTTTGTGCACGGCTTGTTGGGCGTGCACGTGTTCATGATTCGTCTTCACAATCTCAACGCAGTGGACGTGAAAGACATGTTTGCATCACATCGCAACCACAAAATCCTCCGGGGGTTATTGTGGTGCCCGATGATAATGATGCACCCAGAATTCGCACTCTGAATCCGCGCTTACCTTGCTAGACGGTTTGACGATGCGAAGAAGGTTGACATCCAAAATGTCTTGACTGAGGTGCTTTTTGAAATGTTTGCCAATAGTGTCAGAGTCGTGAAAGATGAACGAATATGGAAAAACTTCCTGAAGGGGAAAATAAACAAACTCACTAACTGCGTTGCCACTTGTACACACCCTCGTACGAGTACGGATTTAACTCTTGTACTCATACGTTAATCGTACGCTAGGGGCCCCGTACGAGTTTTTTTTTTTTTTTTTTTAATCCGGTATTATTTTTATTTTTTATCTCAAATTCTAATAAAAATCTCAAGATGATGCTCAGCCAAATGTTGCTTGTTTTGT